CTAAGCTCCAACCCCACATTGTTGACGATTTAGGTTTTGTATCTCTTGCCTTAGTTCCAACCCCACGTTGTTGACCCCTTTAGAACTCATATATCTTGACTTAGCTCCAACCCCACGTTAGTGACCCTTTAGATTATAACCTGCATTTTGATATAGCTCCAACCCCACGTTATTGACCCTTTAGATTATAACCTGCATTTTGATATAGCTCCAACCCCACGTTATTGACCCTTTAGATTATAACCTGCATTTTGATATAGCTCCAACCCCAAGTTATTGACCGTTTAGAACCAGTTTCATGATTTAAGCCCAAACCCCATGTTGTTGACCTTTTGGAACTTGCATCTGGATTTAGTAAAAGTTGTAAATTTTGACTTAGCTCCAACCCCACGTTGTTGACTCTTTAGAACACATATACTTTAACTTAGCCCCCAACCCCCATGTTGTTGACCTTTTAGAACTTGCATCTTGATTTGTAAAAGTTGTAATATTTGACTTTGCTCCAACCCCACATTGTTGACGATTTAGGACTTGTATCTCTTGACTCAGCTCCAACCCCACGTTAGTGACTTTGTAGAACTCCTATCTTGAATTAGCTCTAACCCCATCTTCATTTAGCTCCAACCCCTTGTTGTTGATCTTTTAGAACTCATATCTTGACTTTGCCCCAACCCCATCGTGACTTAGATTCGATTTCATGTTGACTCTTTAGAACTTGTATCTTGACTGAACTCCAACCCCACATTGTTGATTGACCCTTTGGAACTTGTATAAAATATTATGTATACACAGACTGAACTGCTCATATATGTTTTTCTGTCCGTTTAAAGAAGAGTTCAAGAATTCGAAAAACTGAATTTCTGTAACATTTGGACTATCATAATCTTTTTGTGTGCCTTTCCTTTGAAGTGCAGGGGAGCTTTCAGAATTCTCTGTACAAAATTGAAACTGCGCAAAATCTCCCTTTGAATATCAAGCTGAAATTATATTATTGTATTATATTATATTATATTATATTATATTATATTATATTATATTATATTATATTATATTATATGTATATATCTAATAAATTAATAATGTGGAATCTATCTTACTGGTCTTCTTTTTTTTTGGTACGTTTTATTGGTAAGGCATTCATGTTTATTCTCTTTCCATCGCGGGTGTTTGTTGGGCGCTTCTTGAGGGTCCTTCTTTTCTTTCCAACTGCCATTTCTGTCTGCTACCTGTCTTACTTTTCATCTGCTCTAAAATGGCCATTGTATTTCAAAGTGCTTCATGCTTCTCTTACCCCATACGCACAAATGGTGTGCAAATGATAATTTCAATTGTGATCTTTCCCCGGAAATAGAGGTAGACTTTCACTGGAAGCTAGACTACGTCATACTGTAAAACGCTGGCCTCTGCTCTTATGCAATCTTATGAGAAGTGCGACTAGAACGTTTAATTATGACCAGGAATTGTGTGCTATGTTCAGTTCGTGAGCATTTTAAATACACCGTTGTATCTGATTCTAGACTTGA